GCGCCCCCCACGGCGCCCATGATGGCGCGCTGCCTGCCCTGCGCCGGCAGCAGCCTCCGAGTCTCCGGGAAGGACAGGGCGCTGGGCGCGGGCTCAGCGGGGTTGCTGTCGGTGAAGTAGATGAAGATCGCCAAGAAGAGGAGCCCCCACGCAAATATCCCGAAGAGCATGCATTGCCTCCATTGCTTCAGGTGTGGTTTCATGGCAGAGCCCTGGGGTCAGCGCCGGGCCCGGGGCGGCAGCGGGAGGCCGAGGAACCTGAAAGACAGGCGAGAGCTGCGGTTAGCCACCGCGTGGACACCAGCGTGGGGTGCTTAGGGGTAGCAGAAGCCAAAGCAAGCGGGGTGGCCGAATTCGGGTCACTCGGACATCTCTGGACTGCTCCAGCCAGGGTCTCCCGTCCCTGCGGAGTCCCGCGAGAGAAGAACCCCCAGCAGGTGCCCCAGGGACCTGAGGGTCTGCTCCTGACTCGGGTGAGCCCCCCAAGCCACCCACGGGGCCACCCGACAGGCAAGCGCTCTCGTGAGCATCCCCAGAGCCCCATCTGGCAAAGCACCTCGCCTGAGTCGTCCTCCTGAGGGTCTGGGCCGGCTGTGCCCCAGGAGCGCCTCTGCGCATCTATTCTGGGGAGTGACAGCCAGGTCTGACTCAGGATGCCTCTCCCCAGCGCCAGGGGACCCCGGTGACACCGAATGCAACAGCGCACCGGTGACCGTGTTTTCCAGCGTGTGTCATGCCAGTGTGTGCCCGTGGACCTCAGCAGTGCCTCACACGTCACCCTTCTACCGCTGCAGCCAGCACAGGGGCACCAGCGGCAGGAAGTGAGCTGGGAGAAGCAGTGGCAGCGGCTCACTTCCTGTGCGCCTGTCCTTACACACGTCTGGGGCTATCTCCTTTGGTTTCTTCAGCATCTAGTAAGGTTGGGACCACTGCTGTTCCAGCTTCCGGATGAGGAAACCGAGGCTCAGAGAGGTTTAACTCAAAGCTTCGGAGATAGCAGGCCACAGAAAATGCAAACCCATCTGCTTGATTCTAGGCTCACGCTTTTAACTCTAAATTCATAGCCCATCTGCTCCTCCTACCAGCTGAAGTTCTACTTCCTAAATTAGGCTCCTCCTGCTGTCTGTGGTAAAGGGTCCTCCCTCCCCAAGTCCTCGCTGTCTGGTATCTTCGCATTTCCTTCTGTGCCCGAATGCGCCAGCAGTGTCCAAAGCTGTCCAAGGTTCTAAGTACTCGCTCAGCCACTCTGCGGTGTCTCACTGGGACTCAGTGATGAGCGTGCCAGTGTTCAGAGCCCAGGCGGTGGGGACGCCTGGACACCACCTGCCTGACCTGGCCACACAGGAGCCAGGTGCTCAGCCGAGATGCCAGCAAGAAGGGCTAGACGCACGTTCCAGTGTTTCAAGATATCTAACAGAAGTTGGAAAATCACTCGTAATAACAGCTCTTCTGTTTCCACCCCAGTGAAGGTAACTGTGACACCAGATCCACCGGCAGTGCTGTCACCCCCAAGACTACCCTTGCTGCCGATGCCAACCACCTGTGGGGTCCCCAGGCCGCCCGCAGTCTAGGAGGTTCCTGTGGACCTCTTCAGCTTTGGTCAGAGGTTGGAAAGACTAACAGCAGTTAGGGGAGTGTAATACTTAGGAATACCTTTTTGTCATAAAGCGTAGGTATAGGCTTTCCTGTTGCTGAGACAAAATCCCCAACTGTCAGAATTCCAATTTGCAGGAGAGCTTTATCAGCGTATGTTTCAGAGGTCAGCTCCAAGATAGAAACATGGTGGAAGGTGTGGTCACGGGAAGCAGCTCGTGGGAAGCTGGGAGCGGGGAAAGAGACTGACAGGAAGGAGCCAGGGGCACAGACAGCCCCTGAGCTAAGCCCTCCTGACCACTCCAGCTGCTGCTCCTCCGGAGGACACATTCCGCACAACAGAGCTAAACCCTAGGTGAGGTCAGTGCAGTTGGGTGGACAGTCAATGCTAAGTGGCACAGGTTGCACATGGGTGAGGTCTGGAAGGGACATTTGGGATCTGGGCACATGCCCCTCCTGGCACAACCAAAGCTGCCAACCAGGAGGCTTAGCTCAGCTCTGGCATCAGAGTTTTACTGGTGTTTCATTGTGTGGGCAGGAATGCAACACTTGGTGGTCACCTGACTGAACCCCACCGTCTCTGGGCCACCTCTCTTGCCTTGAGGCCAGGCTGGCCCAAGGAGCAACCCTGGAATTTCACTCGGATGGTCTTTCTGGGGATCAGCACCCAACCGGAAGCTGTCCGTGGATCTAGATGAGTCCCCGCTCTAGGACAGCAGGCACCGTCTATCACTCAGAAAATCCCCGGAGATTTTCAGGCACTGGGAAGGACCACTGTACCGCACCAGGCTGCAGCCACAGATTTAAAGAACGCCCGCCCGCTGGAGCTGGGAATTGTCATCACCTGGGTTCCTGTACTCCTGGAGAAGGAAAGCGAGCTTATGCCTCCAGCATTCGAGAGACAAGGTGAAGTGTGTGCAGAATGGAGAGAGGTGAAACAACAGAAACCAAACTGAGCTGCTGGGAAGGAGCCGAGGGGACCTGCTGAGAGGGGCACCTGCTCAGGAATCCTTAAAGGCTGCTGCTGACGAGATGCTGTCCTCACTGTGTGCCTGTGCCTCGTTTCCTGAGGAGAGGGCGGCTCGATCTTCTGGGAGAGGTAGTAGCTATGATGGGGAGGGGTAATGAGAGCTTGGCTGGGGACAGCAGAAAGAAAAGGACAGCCTGGGCCCAGAGTCCCGGATGGCTGGTTCTTCAGGAGGCGGACAGAGGGGCTTGTGCACCGCCTGAGCCCTGCAGAGGGGTGCGGCTCCCATCCTGGCTCCTTGTGAGGCACAATGCAGCGGGATATGACTCAGTGATCACAGAAAGCAGTGGGTCCCGCCTGCACTCATGACCAGGCTTGGGCTCCGTCATCCGGAAGCCTCTGCTGGGGCTTCTAGAGCTGCAGCCTTCCTCTCACGAGCCAGGGAACATTTCGCCACACGGATTCATGTCCAGGCAGCCGCACATCCTGTGCTAGCAGAACACTCCAGAAACTCCTCCAGAGGGCATGGGTCTCCAGCACCAGCAGATCTGCAGCAAATCCAGGACAGAGAGGCGGGGACCTGCCCAGTGCTGGAGCCCGGCATACCTGTCCTCTTCCGGGAAGGCCCACACCATCTACAGGAAGGAAGGGGTGGCCTGGCAACAGAAAGCATCCTTTCCCTAATACAGTCCGTTAGAGGTATGACGATATGACTCAAGCAAAGTCACCCGCCACACTTGCTGCCCCCGGCTGCTGTGATATAAATGGCACCGGGGGTGGTAGAGGCCCGACAGGCAAATCACCTGTCCCCAGGCGCCCATGGGAAGTGCTCCCTGACCAGACTCCTAGCGTGTCTGGGATAGTTGTTGAAGTGATCCAGGCTGTCGAGTTTGTGCCATTGCTCCCCTGGGAAGAGGTTGGGCGAGACGATCCACACGCCAGACGCACTGGGCTTTCAATTCTAAAGTTCTGGCCTGGCAGCGGGAAGGCGCCGATGCCCTTCGCATGCTGTCTGCTGCCGCTACCGTTCCTTCCCCAGCTCTTCTGCCGCGTCTTGTCCCTGTCGCCCAGTATCCAGGATGCTTCTATTTCTGCAGGCAAAATCACCCCGCCGTGCGCTGGAGGGCACGCACTCGGAGGGCTCTGCTGCGGCAGGCAGTGTGCCCCGAGCTTGACACGGAGGCCCCAGCCAAGGAAGGGGCCGCATTCCTCGTCTTCTCCTCAGGCCACGGGGTGCTGAAATTCTCTTCAGTTCTGAAGGAAACCACACTTCGCAGAGGGCACAATTTATCACCAGTTGTCAGACGCAATTATGAAATGCGAGCGCTGCTGCTGCCACACAGCACAGCGCAGCGAGGTTTACTGCGGCCGGGTCTCCTTCCCTCCACGGGCGAAGCGAGGTCAGTCTGGGCCGTGCCCCTTCATGATGTGCCCCTCACGCCCGCAGTCCACGAGCTTCACCACCGGTTTTCCTGAATAGAGACTTTCCTTTTAAATACACTTTGATGGATGTGCGTGCCGCGAGCACCAGCCAACCAGGTTTCCTGAGAGCCTGAGAAACTCCTGTGGGTTTTTTCTGTGTGTGTGTATATGTGTGCGTGCACGCGTGTGCACGCTGCCTGCATAATCCTCAGTCTTGATATTTTAATGTTGAAATGATAAAAATGTTTGTGTTAGTTCTAGCGAGGCACTCGTGTATCATAATAGGCCACGGGAGTCATTTTCTTTGAAGCATCATTTTTCTAAAATTAGCTCTTGTCACAGATCTGAGACGCTCAGTCTGCAGGAAGAAGAACCCTCCCCCAGCTGGAATTCTGCCTCCTGCCAACCTCGTACAAACGCCCCTTCCCTTCATTTTTTATGTGGGAGGAAGTGTCCAGCCTGCTGTGTGTGGAAGGCGGAGTCCAGCCCCTCTTTGCATCTCATTCTGGCCCGCTCTTAAGCCAGCGTCCAGAACAAGGTCAGCTGAGCACGGGGTCCCGGGAGCAGGCTGTGTGGAGTCTCTGTCCTGGGCAGGCTGGTCCCATGGCCAGCAGGGCCCTGGGTGCTGACTCCCGATAAGTGTGAGGATGTAGCCTGATCCACTGAGGCCGGAGGGCTCTGCTGGGGCCGACAGACCCACGTGACCTCACTCAGCAAAGGCACACGTCTAAAGCTCGGGTCCCAGGGCAACCAGCTATTTAAAATTCAGCACACTGGCCCCTTCCTGAGGGAAGGACCACATCTTCTATCCCTAGCAACACAAGGGGGGTGGCATGGGAGGTTCCTAATCAGTGCTTCAAAATAAATGAAATAAATGATTGGAATTAATAAAAAATAAATGGGGAAAACATATGGTGTGGGGTTGCGCACAGGGGCTCCCTTTGGGTATGAGGGCGTCTGTGTCTTGCTGTGCTTCCTGCCCTGCAGTAGAGTCTGGGTGTCTCCAGGCAGATGTACGAGAAGCTGCTGGGTACAGGGCTGCCGGGTGACCGGGCTGTGGGGTGACCGGGCTTCAGAATGGCCGGGATGTGGGGTGGCTGGGCTGCTGCACGCTCAGGCTGCTGCACTGTCAAGCTGCGGGATGGTCTGGCTGTGGGATGGTCAGGCTGCAGGATGTCTGGCCTCCCAGGTGGCCAGGCCTGCATCACTGTGTGTCAGTACTCGTTGGGGCAGCGGTGGGGTGGACTAGCAGCAGCCATCAGAGGCTGCCATTTGGCAGACACTCACTCTGGCATGGTCTCGTGTTCAGTCTTCATCTCAGTGTAATCTACATGAAACTATTTGATATCATGACTGTCATCTGGCTAAATTTCCATAGGTTGCCTTCTAATATGCTGTCCCAATGACCTCAGTATATCACTAAGTCAGAAAAAAATTGCTGGGTGCTCTACAAGTGCCAGTTTTAGAGTCTTAGTAATGGTTTCTCCTCTCTAACACAGCTACCATGCCAAGTGCCTGGGCAGCTGCCCACATTAGACAGGCCAAGGGGGGCCTTCACGCCCTCTGCACTAACATCCCATTTCTGTTTGCTGTCTGGGTGAGAACGTGTCCAGGGGACAGATGGGGGCACACTCGGGTTCTGGGTCAGGTCATTTCCCCAGTACAGTGTTTTCCTCAAGAGCCCAGAGGGATGGGCGATGCTTGGGAGGCAGATCCTCATGTATGAGCCACTCGGGCAGCGCCATGGGGCGGGGGAGGGGGAACGGGTTCCAGACGTCTGTCGCTGGCTGTGCAGAGCCAACACAAGCTGCCTGGGAGCCAGGGTCCGCTGGCTTCCTGAAACAGCATTCATCTGCTTGGACACGGCGGCCTGTTAGTGTTACAGCAGTGAGCATTCAGATATCGACACTGTGCACCCACGCTGTTGCACTCTTGGCTGGAGCTTAATCCCTGCAAGCACCCGGGTCTGATGGTCAGGAAGAGACGAAGCTATGGGCCTGGCCCCAAGACCTGGAAGGCCAGCCCGGACACCAGCGGTGTCCGTGGGCTCTGGCGCTGCAGCGTGGTGGCCAGCAGGTGGCTCTGACAAGTAGGCCTGGTGCCCACAGGGGCCACCTTTCCGGGAGGAGCAACGGAGCTGGCAGCAAACCCCAGCTTGGCAAGGCCCAGGGCACCACTGAGAGCCGTGGTGGGTGGGCATGTGATGGCGAGGATGAGGGTGCCGCGGGGGGGTTGCCAGCCACAGCAGCCCCGGCACTGGGAGCCACGGTGACAGGGATGGCCCGGCCACTGTAAGCAGCAAAGGCGGTGCTGGCTGGACCAGAGGACCCCTGGCCAGACAGCCTGGCACTGGGTGATGGGGGAGGCCTGGAGGCTCTGGTCCAGGCTGAGGGCCCGTGAAGGGGTGAGGCTGTGTGATACGCTAGACTGGGACAACCCCGCACAGTGCCTGGCCTGACACAGCCAGCTACATGATGTCCGATTTCAGGGCGGGTTTTGAAATTCTACAAATGTGAGAGTGGGATGTCTTTGGGCATGGGTTTTATCCCGTGGCTTCCAGTCCTGTGCAGTGGTTTGCACGAGGCAGCCTGCCTCCTAAATGACCTGGAATGATGCGCCCCATTCAGATAAACGCTACGGGCCAGTGAAGCCAAGAAGCACTCAGTACACCCTGCCCGCATGAGGACCTGTCCCCAGGACGTCGGTGATTGCGAGCCTGGCCTGGACTCAGCGTGCGGAAGCTTCTTCTGGGCTCCCTGTGTTACTGGCTCACAGGCTGTGTGCTGCTGAAATTCCACACAAATGCTTCAGAGAAAGTGGATCCTCCTCACACAGCCCTTTGCCTTTGGGAAACTCACTGAGCGTGGGGAGATTCAGGGTTTAATGCTTGAGCAGTGCAGGCGGACCAGAAAGGGCTCTACAGACTCAAATTCTGGAAATCTCTCCTCACTTGAAATAACAAGGCCTCATCCCAGAACAGAGAGGAAGGGCGGAGGGTTTCAGAGGCCCTGCTAGGCAGACCTTGCTCCCACTTGAATGAGGTTTGTGTGCAAGGAGCTTCATTTAAGAAAAGACGAATGTCTTAGATCCACCTCGATGAAAAAGTCTCAGATATAATCCTGGGGCAGGAGACGGAGGCTGCAAAACACAGAACTGAGCCACTGAGGCAGAGCCTCACACACAGGTGAGGCGGAAGGAGAGAGGTGGGGATTAGGGGCAGCAGGGGGAGCGCATCACGGCTTAAGTGCTTCCTTTGTTAGGATTTGATGTAAACCTATAAAAAATTAATACCCATTAAATTTGGGTACATGAAGTCCCTGATATTTTTTGCTTTCCCGCATTTGTATTATTGCATGATTTTAAACAACGACAAGTTTTTTAAAAACATTTGCAGTGAAAGCTATAGGAACTCACGAACATGAGACAGAGAAGCCATGACTTGTGTTTCTATTCCTGTCTACTGCCCAAGCCCCCCGGGGCACAGTTCCTGCTCACAGACGTGAAGCAGAACGCTGACGTGTCACACCACACTCCTGACGTGGCAACTTCGCGGGGCCACACTGTCAGTCACGAGGGCCACGGTGCAGCACTGGGTTTGAGGGTGTGGAAGGGCCCTGGGCTCGCAGAGGCACCTGCCTGAGACCTGCTGTCCCTGTCACCTGCACCTTGCAGCCTCTTCTTCTCTAACATGAGGAAAATCCCCGCAGCGAGGAACTGTTCTAGGATAACCCGTATTTCTAAATTTCATTTTTCCAGTTAACATTGTTCATGCTTACAGGGTAGAGTAAGGGCAGTCTCACCCTGTGCATCCATGGTGCACAGATGGAATCGAGGCCTTGCATCCCCATCCCTGTTCTTTCCCTCTTTGGAGCCTTCAAGCTCTTCTCATCCACTCCTCCAAAAACACAGGTGGCGCTGTTTGCTGTCCTCACAGCTCTGAGCTACAGAACAGGCAACCCGCCCTCCTCTCTAGGGACCGGGTGGTGCTGCTGTTCAGCCTCTCTGCCTCCCCTCCACCACTCCTAGGGTCCATGGCACTCCTCTCTCCTACTCTGAGATCAACCGTGTTAGCTCACACTTAGGAAGGACAATACACACAGTTTTTCATTCTGTGCCCGGCTGATTTCTCAGCATAATGTCCTCTCGTTCCAGTCATTCTGCAGCCGAGGACAGGATTTTGCTCTTTTTATGGCTGAAGAGTACTGCGATCTGCCACCTTTTCTTCATCCGTTCATCCAACAGTGGACAGCTGGCTACCGTGGATGGTACTGCAGTGAACATGGGAGTGTCGTCTCTTTTTGATAAACTGATTACAAATTTTAAAGAAAATGCAAATAAATATAGTAAGTGCGAATATAATCTATTGTTACCTGCGTAAGTATTAAGTAACTGGACATCCTGCTGTGCTGAGGACAGCTGTGCAGAGTGGAGACTGCACCATCTTGGTGCCTGACTCCTGGGGACAGCAGGGTGGAAAGCAGCTTCTGAAGGACAGTGTCCAGTGCCCTGTCTCCATGCTGAAGGACATCCCAAGTGTGGTGTCTCCAGCCCTTGCTCCACCTTTAATCCTTCCATGGAGGAGTTGCAGCCCCCAAAAAGCGTTTGCCTTGGTGTAATCTCTCTAGAGCCACCTGTCTCTCCAGGGCTTGGTTCAAGGTCTAGACCCAGGTGCAGAAACAGAGGTGGGGCTGTTGATCCGATCTGTTGCTCACATCCAGCCCATGACCTTGGCCTGGCTTTGTCAGTGCCCTGTGTCACACTCTAATTGCCCTTTGGCTGACATTCATGGCCCTAACTAAGATGCTGGGCAGCTGCTATCAGAGTCTCCCTCAAGTCCTGTGACCTGGAAATTGTTGTTAAGGGCATTTTTACAACTGGGAACAGAAGTCACAGTGCAGCTACCTAAAAGCCCACATGTCAGTATGAGATGGAGCTTGGACCGTGCCTCCTTATACTGCAGGCAGTCAAAGGGAGACAGTGGTGATGTCCACGCTCCTTACTTTCAGGGTTGTTGGAAACTGTCAAGGAAAAGAATGGTTCGTAGGCTGTAAGAACATTTGAAACCTTGGTGTCCTACCAACTCATTCAGCTCCTGCAATTTGAGGAATGATCAGTACTCAGATTCAATAATCATGTCACAGTAGTCTTAGGCAGTCTTCTGTTTCCTGAAATACGTGTAAGTGAAAAGGTGATCCTGAAATACACAAATGGTGTGAATGTGAGTCACAGGCTGGTGACCCTTGAGCCTGGGCAGGGGATTGACACTACTAATGGGTTGGGTTTTAAGGACGGAACATTTGTAATTTTATTGAAAGAGAACACCAAGATGTTAAGGACCTAACACCCTACTCCTTAAAACCGGTGGGTATCCTGAGCCACAGAAGCCACATGGCAAGCTGGCCATGTCATCCTGGGGTGGTGATTTTAACAGAAGACATGGGGAGAGAGGAATGTGTTAATTTTTATGTCAAAGCACATACACACATATTTTAGAGCCAAATGCAAAGCCAACTTGAATATTTAACCTAAAACCTGAGACTCCCAGGAGATTTCCCCCTGCAGGCTCTCAGCTCGGCCCCAGCCCACTAGGGCAGAATGGGGGGGCCTGGGTCTGTGGCGCTGTCCTCAGGCCCAGTGGGCAGCATTGGGTCACAGGCTTCTCGTGACACTTAGGAAGGCCACACAGGCCGGGAGCCGCCTGGACGGAGGTCAGGCGTGTTCTCTCCAGGACTAGCTTTGGCTTTTGTGAGCAAAAGCCTAAAAGTTGCCAGCGGATACAGCAATCTCCGAGTTTTTAACTCTATCTTAGTTACTCTCCTTGTTGCTGTGATGAAATACCCAACACCCACAAGTTAAGGGAGAAAAGTTTATTTAGTTCATGGTTTGTAGAGGTTTCAG